ACGAACAGCGTCCCACTTGGTCGCCTCACAGAGAACCTTGTTCCTCCGGATAGGCTATCAGCCGAGGACCGTATATGACCGATACTACCGTCTCATTTCCTGGCCTAGTGCCTCTAATAAGAACCTCGCATGCGAGCTGCTGCGCCGGAAATCGTTCCATTTCGACACTCGGTGACGTCATTTGGGCCAAACCGCCGAACCGTTTGCGGTTTGGAGCTCTCTTTTTTGGAGGAGTTCGGCAGTTCCCACTTTTGTCCATGTCCGAAGACCTTCCCATGACGGCCAAGCTTTCTCATATGTCCGAGTCGAGTCGACCTCGGCAAACGGGGAAGAGGAAAGCCTATTCGTCCCGCACACGCACCGTGGTGAGGCGTCGCTTCGCCTCACTTCCGCGCTATCACCTGGCCGCCCATTAACCCCTTATTGGCTGGGCTTCCGTGGCCAGAGAGTGGAACAGCCCCCAGTTTTTCTTGGTGACCACATGTTCCCTTTGTTCGCCGTGACCGCCGCGGCACGCTCACCTATTCGTCTGCGGGCGCGGTCCTCAAATTATGGTCGCGTAATAGACGCCTGTCGGTTTCCATGGAAACGAGGCTGTCAGGACGCTGACGTGACGCCGATTTGGATGGATTGGGTGGCAGAGGGTTGAGACGTGCGGCCCCAGAGTGGAAGTGGGAGGTGTGAAAGCTTTACTTGCGTGCTTATTTGTGTCTTCTCTAAAGGATAGGTGTAAGGATGACCGATCCCCATATTCGTCTTATTATTTTCAAAAACTTAATTTGGTGTTGGATCTAATTGCATGCTTTTTATATTTATCTCGATGACATTTTGCTAATTCATGTTTTCAAATTGCAGGAATGATAAAAGAAGCCGCGCTATTAATGCCAGAGCTGTTACAATTTCTATAAATCATCCTTTAATCACCCAACGCAGGCGTAAATTTAATAGTGTGCGTGAGTGAGCACTGAGCACCCCCTGTGAAAGCAGAACGCGTAAAGGATGACACAAAGTGCGTGAGTTTTAGGGTCACTCGGACCGCTGACGCATGCAAAACTCGTGAAACTCTGCCCTGCTATGACGCAACTCCTGTTTGGCAATAGTGAAACGGGTGCGAATTGGGGCTGTCCTGTGGTCAACCGAACATCCGCTCTCAGCGCGTCAGATTTTGACACACAGAGAACAGCCAACTGGACAGTCTGGCATCGGAAGTGACCGCGTGGGAACCTCTCCCCGCTCGGGTAATTTCTCTCTGGGTGCGACTCTCACGTCTTTAGCGGCAGTGATTCCCCAGTTCACGTTTCTCCGCGAAGTGCGTCCAGGAATGACCCAAACCGCGCCCAGAAATGAGCGGATGGCGGGTGTAGGCCCACCGCGGCTGGTTTTAGGCCACGGAACGTAACGTGAGACGTTCGACGGCGCCGGGCGGCTAGCCGGAAGTTCGAACTTCCGGTGGGGATGAGATGGCTGCCCGGTGAAAATAGGGGTCCTAATCATCAGGGATATGATGTTTTTGTGGTGAAAATAGTAACCAAAAGAAAGGGAAGTACGGTTGATTCGGTGTGCTTATCCTAATTTCTATCCGGCAAATTAATAGGCGCATATTTGCTGTTGTTTTTCGTGCCCACGATTCTATATAAGTTTACTCACATGGTAGTTGTGCTCCTTAGAAGTGCTTTCCTGACTGGCTTCAGACCATTTCCTCACTCGCGCACAGACCTTCCGACCACGGAGGACCAGTTAGTTACGGTGGAGACCCAACGTTAGTCTCCAGCAGTGTTCCACGGTGAACAATCGGTCGTTCGCGGCCGGGCAGGGACGCCTAGTGATGGAGTTATAGCACTGCCGAGGTGGTTCTCACTCGGAGAGAGAGAGAGAGAGAGAGAGAGAGAGAGAGAGAGAGAGAGAGAGAGAGAGAGAGAGAGAGAGAGGGAGGGATGGAGGGAGGACCTGGTCAATGAGGAAGTCCGCAGGACAGAAGCAAAGGGGAGGGAGTATTCATAAAAGACTGGGTGGCCTATAACACATAAAAACTTGGGCCGACAAAAAAGGTGTGTCGCTTGTCCATGAGAAACTGGAGATTATGAGACGAAATCTGATAGTTTCTCACGTAAAAGGAGGAGACATGAGACGGGGAACATGATGAACAAATTATAGGATGATTGGAGGCGACTACGGCGAGCTTATTATAATACGGGCAGTGGGAACACATCAGGGCGAAGGCAAATGATAACAAAAACGTAAGTTTGTTATGTGAGCTAGACAGGATGCATCGTGTACGGTGCTTTCCGATTTTTTGTTTTGTTTTTAGACTGATAACAGTAAATGCGAAATGCCAATGGAACTCGGAGTCGAAGATCATCCCTCACGGGTCTTACTGTGTCAACATGTTTCAAAGTGCCAAGAGCAACGGTTACCTATAAACCTCGTAGAACGCTCCTACCGACTTACCTTGCTTATCCCATCTTACCACGGTTATCACATCTTACCACGGTAATCACCTCTTATCGCGGTGATTAGCCCATGCTGATGTGATAGTAGCACGCTGTGCAGATGTACCACCACCCGGTTCGCAGCTGCTGTCAGTTTGTGCAGTGTTCTGCTGCAGATGTAGACAGCTGCGTGCGGCCAGCTGCCGCCGCCGCAGTGGTGGCTTTACATGCGACAACGGTTTTTACATAAGAAATGAACAGGAGATGATTTCTGATTTCATGCAGTGAAAGGTGAAATTTGCGTCACGTGTTTTGTTCCGTCGTTATTTTTCGATCGACGGCTAGCAAATGTGGTATGCTTTTGCACAGTTTCCCGAAAGTTCATCCAATGCAGGGAGCATTTATGCAGTTAAATTTCCAATGCATTCAAATTTGCTCGCATGTTGATCTATGGATACGATGTAAGACTTGGTTGAATGCCAATGAGTTCGATTCGCGCTAAGCGTGACGTCGCTCTGCGAATTCGCGACTGAGCTACGCACTGGCCTGGTTTTGCGCGGCAACTGTCATGTGCATTAATCACCGCGTCACTTAAACATGGTGTCACTTTGACACAGTTTGAACTATGAAGTGGTGTCTGGTTAGGTCACTGGACTGAGGTCAAAGGTCAGTGACTCAGCCGATGATCCAATGGCTTCTGCGTACTTCCGCAAACGTTTGACATGGCACACGTGCTATGGAGGATATGTCACATGACTAAACGCCCATCCATAGTTACGGTCACTGACCACACGTGACTAACACACACTAACCTCCGATTGGTCTCATGGACAGTCACGTGACTCACTTCACTGCAGCCGTGAGTCAGCTGACTCCAATATGACTCAACACCCAACAGCTGCTGCTGTCAGCCTCAGGCGACGCCGCCGGTCACGTGATATCTCCCAGCGTCGACCTACCGGCGCACAGTCGGGTCACGTGACTTCTGCGGCCAGGTGCGCGCGCGTGCGGCGCTCGTGGTGCAGCTGGACCTGTCAGCGGCGCGATATGTGGCCAAAGCTGGGCCGTGAATGACGCTAGAAAGCGTCTGGTGGAGCCGGGCCCGGTGGCTCAATAGGGCTCACCAGTTGGTCGTGGGAGGAAGCGGCGTTACGGGCTGAAACTGGCCATAGCGGCCAACACAGAAAGGGGTTGATGGGGACGATTTATCTGCGGAAGGGACAACGCCCTGCTGTATAACGTTGTTTACCGTGACAAGGTCTAAAAGTTGTGGAAAGTAACGAAGCAAAGTAACAATGTCACGAGCGCATGAAAGTCGTGCCTCAGCTCAGGTTTACGGATATTTTTTGAGAATGTTTTAGGCAATATCAGCAGATATTTTTCTAGCCTGGCATTTATAGCGTAATTCGAATGCTATTAAACGAAAAAGTCGGAAACTTCTTCCATGAACTATCAATTTTTGGGTGTCTCCGTCGAAAATGGCGACGATTTCCGCTGTATCGCTGAAGCGTCAGGTGGCCAGCGTGCCCCGAGCCCAGCACTTATCCTCTTATACCACTCGTTTTCCACACTTCCTGCTTATTTTCTGGCAAAATGAGTCGATTTGCTGCCAGCTTTGGTCTTTGTTCTCTGGGACTTCGCGCTTTCCGAGCGAAAGTTTGCTATGCGTTAGCTCATAGCTGTGATACGGGATGCCCTATCAGCTTGGCAAGACATGTCGCCAAAGCTAGTCCGAAAGAGCTTTTGTTTTTGCCAGTAGACGCCCGTTATGCTTTACATCCCAGCACACCCGGTTTTGTATTCTTTGTATTGTTACAGGACACCAATGTCCCAAACTCGCAGTTATCACATACTGTCTGTCTTAGTCCTTACCGCTCTCATTCTGTGTCATTTAGCCTGTCCCGCCCACTCTTCCTTCTATCCTGTCCTGTCCCTTCCCGTCTTCCGTGTCCCTCCCAACACCCTCCCCATCTCAGTTAGCTTTCAAGGCACGCATTTGGGGTGGTCTGGGACGCTTTTTAAACTCATAAAATGCGTCGCATGCCACCACCGCCGCCGCTGTCACTTCCGAACCCACGCACGCGCCGGGCGCCCGCGGGCGTTGTTTACAAACTATGACGTCACTCTTACTACGACGCTGCGGGCGCCGGCGTCTGGCGTGCGGCCAGACAGCAGCCTGGCGGTGGGCGCCGTGGAGACCGTGGTGACATCTATTGAGCGCGGTGGCAACTACAGCAGGGCCGGAGTGATCGAATCCCGGGGGAGGCGAAACTTTCATTCGGTCGAATCGTGAGACGCTTCAACCCTTGTAGGAAACACGCCCTGGTTATTTACGAGTCTCTTTTCTCCCTTTTCGCTTGAATAACTACAGAAGCATTATTTACATCATTATATGAGCCTACCTACTTGTCTCCCGTTTGTTGTTTATTCGTCCACTGTTAACCGTCTTTCGACTCATGTCTTTGTGTTTGTGTTTGACAAACATCGAACTGTTTGTGTATTGGTCACCGACGCTCGAACGTCTGGTTTCTTGCCAACTCTCGTCTTACAAGTTTTCTTCTTCTGTTTCAGCCCCCGCGAGGCGAGCGCAGCAGAAGTGCCAGCGTTCACGGCAGTCTCAGTCGACCGGTGAGTGTTACGGCTTGAGCAATGACGTAATTTGAGTTGCGTCATAAAACCGTTAGATTATTCGTTACTGTGTCCTGAATGGGAGAGATACTGGGCATTTCTTATTAGAAAAGGTCATATCTAGCTTATTGCTGCTGACGTTCTGTGAGTTGCAAGCAAATTTGAAGGCTCTTTATTTGTTTGTGTGTGTGTGCTGATGAAGTTGGTAGTTTGGCACCTTCCTTGGACTTGGATTATTCTGCGCTGGTTGTAGTGTTAACTTGGTTGGTAACATTGACGTTAACGTTGCAGTGTCACATGTCCAATATTTTTTGCACCCTTTGCAAGGCTCGATGCTTCACTTTTGCATTGTTAACCTTGCGTGACGTCATCCCATCGATATCTCATCTCAGCAGACAGTTTTTCATCACCTCACCTCGTCATGTGTTGATGACCTGACCCCTGGTGACCCCGCTGACCTCCACCCTCCTCCTCCACAGTCTGCCGGGGGCTCGGTGTTCGGCAGCTCTATGACGATGCCGTCCAGCCAGCCACCCCACCCACCAACTCTTCCACCACACCAGCCTCATCCGCCTTCGTTCGGCACCGGTCAACCTCCATGGTCTTCAGCAGCCCCTGGACAGAACGGCGCCGCCCAGTGGACCGGCCAGCAGTATCCGCAGATTTCTGTCGCTCCAGCTCCTCCGGCGCCCGCGGCGCACTTTTACGACTCGCGCGTGCAGTATCAATACCCCCAGCCGGGTGGAGCGCCGTTCTACCAGCCCGATGATCACTTTGGTGATCCATTTGGAACCGGAAGCAACGGAGGAGTTGGCGGGGTGACCTCCGGAGGCTATCCTGGTCTACCGGACCCTCCGTCAGTGCGTTCGAATGGATCGGGGAATGGCTTCAGTCCGGGACCTAGCTACCTAGTGAGTACAGGAGCCGAGAAGGGATCCCACTTACTCATCCCCGTGACGAACAGTGGGGTGCTGCCCAAGCCGTCCCCGCTGACGCCCCACCCGCTGGGACGTCCGGGACTCATGGTGTCGACCACCATCACACCGCTCAGCCACGCGCCGCAGCTGTCCACGTCTTTAAACTTCCAGGTGAGTTCTCATCGGTGGGAGAGCAATGTGAGTTTCGTGTGTGTGCTTTGAATGAGGACTTTGATCAGCTGAGAGAGTTCGTGGCTCAACCAAAAACATAATTTGACGTAAATACTTATGTGTTTGTTACGTTAGTATGGGAATAACTCAATGAGGCCTCATGCCATTGTATGATTAATATGTTAACTTTTGTGGTCGTCGGTTTGTTGCCCTCGCTCGAAAAAGGGCTCCTTGAAACCGCTGTAAGATAGCATTGTAGCGATGTTTGGTCTCAGTCTTTTTTGTTATCTGGTGAACAATCTGACGATAATTTGTCTCCATTTTCTCTGACCCTTACCATAAATCATGTCCCCAATCTGACGACATTTTGTCTCTGTTTTTCTTTCAGCCTGGCCACCAAGCATCCTCCCGCCGCCCGAGCAGCTCACTCAGCTCTAGCTCGGTCGACCGGTGTCCAGGCGAGACCAGCGGGACCTCCGCCCCCGCCCCCGCCCCCGCCCTGGGCGGCGGAGGAGGCGGCGGCATGGGCGGAGAGATGTACCCCATGGATCCGCCGCCGCCACTCAGCGTACACGACAAGCTCAAGTTGAAGATCTTTGAGAGACAGCAGAAGTCGCCGGCTGTGAAGCCGGTGTCGCATTCGCCTGTGCCGCATTCGCCCCATCAGGTAGCGCACTCGCCGCATCAAGTTGCGCATTCGCCACACCAGGTGCCGCACTCGCCGCACCAAGTGCCGCATTCGCCTCATCAAGTGCCACACTCTCCGCACCAGGTGGCGCATTCGCCGCACTCGTCTCAGCCAGTGCGGCAGGTGGCGCAGGGGTCGCGCCAGACATCGCAGTCGCCCCATCATCTGCCCCAGTCGCCCATACAACAGGTGAGATACTAGGGTTTCAGTCTTCTTCTCACCACCACTAGTTATTTAAACATTTCGAGGCGTCCCCACCCAAAAACTTTGTACCATTGCTCTAGCCTAGCGTTACTATTTTCGTACACCGAAGCATTGGTAAGCCATTGCTCAGCCAACTCAAGACTAATCTCTAGTTCTTGAATTGATCGCCAGGCGTCTCTGTGCACTGCTGTGGATTCCGGCTCTAACACAATCCTTCTGTTCTTTTTCAGATGGTCCACTCACCTCACGGGATGCCGCAGAGCCCCCACAGTTTCGGCCACATGCCGCAGTCGCCCATGCAGCAGCAGCATCAACAGCAGGGCTCACCAATGTCCTACCACAACATCTCAGCTCAGATGGAAAACAAGCCGCCAGATGGGTTCGAACCGTTCCCGAGCTTAGGCTCCGAGCCAGGCTCTTACCAGATCACTGGCAACATCTTCCAGACGGGTCTATCTTTCGGCGAGCCGGGCGTAGGCTCCAGCCTCTGCAGCGATCGCGTAAGCAGCTCCGGTCAGCGCCTGGAGCCCTCTGATCAGCTGGGGGAGTCTCTGCTGTCTCATGACGACTCTGAGCAGCCTTTTTTAGCCCGTAGGACTGCAGCGGCCGGGCGGCGACGCCCGAGTGGGGGCTCTGCAGTCCTGGAAGCACCACCATCTCCCACGAAGAGCTCGTCGGAAGAGACGGCCGATGAGCAGCAGAAGGATGAAGCGATCGGCGAGGGAAAGACAGGCGAAATGGATGATGAAGATAATCAAGAGCGGCCAGATCAAGGCAATCAAGATAAGCCAGAGGAAGTCATTGAAGTCAGCGAACACAGCCAGCAGGTTGAGGAGGCAAATGACGAGTCTGCTGAATCAGTTTCAAATGCCGCCAGTGAACTGACGACGAGTGAAGAGGCAGCAGAGCTGGATGGTGATAATGTAGAGAAACTGGAAATAGAAGGTGGTCGTGGATCTCTTCAAACGGGAACGGGATCGGATGATCGCGAAATATCCACGGATGAAACTGAAACTTCGCCTGCCGACAAGGACTCTGTTGCACAGACGGAGACGACAGACGTGGCAGTATCTGAAGTCAGGTTCACTGAAAGGTGCACAGAAAAGCTTGTGGAACCCAATGCTGCCTGTGCGGATGCTGAACGTGATCCTGGAGCTGCCCTGCCTGGGGAGGCGACTGAAGCGGTTGAACCACTGGAGGGAGCGGCTGGGGTTGTGTCTTCTGATGAAAGCGACGCAGAAGTCAGTCGTACTCCTTTCGGTGAGGGAATCGAGTCTAAAGAAAAGCTGCTGTCCTCTGCTCCAGAAGCTGAAAAGTCAGGCGATTTTCCTGAAGTTTTGCCGTCAAAATCCGATCAGACATCTGAAGAAATGCCAACTGAATGTGATAAAGATCATCTGAATCAGGTGGAGTCTGAATCACCTGGTCCGGATGAAGCCCCACCAGCTTCTGAGGATCCTCTGCCACATCCAGCTCGGCCTATCTCCGACGCAGAAGTCAACCCACCGGCGAAGCCAGTCTCGACAGGCTCCCCTAAAGAAGAAGAAAACACCGATGCTCCAAGAGCTGCAATGGAAGGCGACAGCACGGGCGAAGCTGATCATTACATGAGCTTCTACCACGCAGTGTTTCCATCCGCCACCAACTCGCCGAGAAAAAGCCACGAGTCGCTCAGCCCTTCTCATCTTGCAGCATCCTCTTTCTTCGCCGAGCCTCCTTCGTCTTACGGAGGATCTGAAAACCCACTTTGGGAGTCTTCACCGTTTGGGCCGTCGAGCTTCCTTTACCAAGAGGCTCGTCGTCGCAGGGACCTGGTGCGACAGCGACTCAACCTGTGGAAAACAACACTGCTAAATGGTAAGTTCAGCCAGTACTAACAGAGCATTTGTCCTTCTTTTGCATTTGGTATCCATTTTATATTCATCCTTGCAGAATGGAGATTCCTTCAACTTACTCCAACTGTGATCTCCACCCAAGTCAACTATCTCCACCATTTTACCTCGAACTGTAACCACCCAAGAGCAAGCCCAACCACGCAAGCCTTCCGATCCCACGCACCCGAACCGTTACGTTATTAGCTCATGTTCCGGGCGGCGCGGCGTAGTAGGTAGCGTAAATGTGACCTTGGCTGAGTGATTACGTCATTGGACTGTTACTGGGTGGCGTGTGGGGCGGCAGTAAAATAGTACCGTTTGAGCCACAGCTGCGAGCTAAAACTGAGAGAAGCTGGGTGGGCCGAGCTGTGGATTTGGCATAGTGCCAAGGGGGCCAAATGTGGGAGACTGAGTTGATAACCGATAGTTTTGTATTCATGTTTCATTTACATCGCGTGACACAGTGTGGAACACTATAAACAGTGTGGAAGTGAAAGACGTGACTCGATAAATTGATACGGGTACATGGCGTATGGCTCTTATTTGTATGAGGTTCGCTGGTACCTGATTAAGATTGCTAAATCAGTTATTTTGCAGCCTGCAATGTCTGTAGTGGCGTTCATTAGCTTTTTAATAATACTTGCTCACTCGGCATATCACGCTGGTGCCCCTGACATTGTATCTGACGTTTCTTTTGTCCCTTTCACAGAGACTGCCCGGCATTTGGAGACAGAAGAGCTTCGCCTTCAAGGGAAAGTCGCTAACTTAGTGCCGGTAAGTACCACTGACTGTCGGATGAAAGCCGAAATTATGTGCTCGACGGCACCTGATTTTTTATTATTGGTTAATGGTCTCTAAATAAAAATACTTTATCCGCGGTTAGCCAGGCCTTAACAACAACAACAACAACAACGACGACGACAGTTAAATATTCGTTTTACGTTCGATACCTTACTGCATTCATTTCTCTAACTACTTTTTCTCTTCTCTTTCCGTAGGTGCAGCCGTACGGCGGTTTTCTGGGAATGGCCGAGTTTAACTATCTGGTGGACCACCCTTCAGACTTCTACCAGTGGTGTGGTGACCTCGCAGCCGCCCTCGACCGCCTCGGGCGAGGTAGCTCTCGGACAACGGAGTGCAACTCGCTGCAAGATCACGTGGCTGCGAAACTGGCTGGTTTTGCGCGCGATAATTTCGGCAAGATGTCTGATATTTCTTGGAGGAGTCAAACTTGGCCGATGACGCTGTCCTTCACCATGCGGAAGGTGGTGACGGAAATCTTCATGGTGGGTGTGACGCTGGAGGCGAACATATCGAAGAGGATGCTGCTCGGTGGAACTAGCGCGGGGTATGCAGTGGAGAAACCGATGATGGATGGTCCATTCATCAGCAAGCAATCTGTGCTGTATGGTGGGGAGGGAAGTCGCAGTGAAGGCGGGATGAGGGAGGAACTGTTGGCTCCGCCGCCAGACGGTCGTGCAGGGGGTCCAGGGCCGGAGTTTGATCCAGGGAGTGTGTACGCGATGAGCTCCGGACCCCCGGTGAATGGCTGGAGGCTGGCTCCGCCACGCGCCCCGCCGCCGCTGCCGCCTCCCCTGCCGCCGCCGCTGGAGCCGCCTCTGCCGGTGACCGCGGTGCCCTCGGGCTACGGTCGGGGAGCGCCACCTCAGCAGATGCACGCCACCTTTCACTGCACCTCAGGGAGGCCGTAGGGGAGCCTGCGGCCCGTCTAGTCAGGCTGCGCTGTGCACAGGCGGTGGCGGCGGCGGGACCAATTGAGCGAAAACGGATCGTGTTCGAAATTAGGGCAAGGTTTGTCGCCTTTTGTTTTTCACTGCATTTAATCATGAAAGTGGCAATAGTTTTCGGATTCGGGGTGAGGTTGGGCGGGAGTGCGCGAGCCAGTACGTACAGGGAAGTATGTAAGCCATCCTTCAACTTCATTGCAAGCGAGCGCGCGCGGCGAAGGATTGATTGCCCCCATGTCCCCGGTAATGTCTTTGTGCATTTGCATACGTCTTGAGACTGCAAGCGTCCTTTCCCCTGATTGGCTACCCCGAGCGCCTCCATGCTTTGAAATTGTTCCGTGAAATTCTATCAATTAGTTCTTGGCTCGGTTTATTAGCCAGCGTAAAATGCCGTGCATCAACTTATATAATTTCGGCACTTTTTATTGGTCGTAAATAGTTCGCTCCGAATCCCATTTGCAATACGTCATAGATTGCCGTTCCTCCTCTACTAACTCGTTTGTTTAATTTCCATTCAATCTCTTAGCATTCCTGGGCGGTCCGTGGTGTTTCAACCTAGCACAAAGTCATTGATCAAAGTGTAGCTATAGGTTGTCACCTGGGGCCCATTCTTTTTCAACGTGAAATGCCTTTTTTGTTATCTGACTAATCACGTTGGCATTTTACACCGTAAAATTATTCCGTACGCCGGCTGTGGGCCTGTGTTTCACGTGTGCAGCACTTATAGGGTTATTTTGTACGGATCGTGATGTTAAACCGTCGCACTTTGTCATGTGGGACCACCGCTGGATCTCCTTCCCGTGTAAACGCGGCAGCCAGTGCCGATATTATTTAATTGCGTACATGCGTGCGTGCGTGCGTGTGCGCTGGGTTTTGATCCGTGACCCTGTATCATAGTTTTGTACGGTATTTTTGTACGCCCTGTTGTATATAGCCGGCAAACCGGCAGGATCTACGCCAGTTTGTGTTTTGTAACGAGTCCCCGAACTCGGTCGTGTGTTACCAAGAGACGGCGACCTTGTTACCAAATGGATTACGTTTGGTGACTTGGTCGCATATCACGAATGACAAAGGCGATAGCTATGGGACATTGTGTTGCGATATTTCCTGAATCTAAATAATGGGCTAACTGCATTCTGATTCTTAGGTGTTTTGTTTTACCGTGTGATCGTTGTTTGTTACATTGTTCTACCTTTAACTGCTGTTCCTACAACGCACAATATTTCTATTCTGTCGCACTCTCAGATCCATGAAATATCGTAACGCTTGCTACCGTCGCCTCTGTCCCGGCGTTTTTCAGTAGGCCGTAGATACTCGTTTGGGTTGTGCTAAGTTGGTCGTGTCATTGGCAACTTGTGTCATGGAATCCGCTCGCTCATGGGTGTCATTTAATGCGTGTACCAATTGATATCTCATCAGGAAAGCCTTAGATGGGAGCTCGTGACGTCATTCATTATTCCAATATGAATCCAATGACGTCATTTGTCAAATCATTGGCGAGTGTTTCGAAATGTCTACCGTCCCTTCCGAAGCCACCCAGCCAAAATAGCCTTGAGAGCGAGTACAAAAGCGGTCGCATCTCATCGAGTGTGTTTGATCTCTATGCATTTAGTGTGTCATTATAAGGCGAATGCCGCGAGTGCTCGCCGGGTCGCCATCTTGGGCGCCGCCATCTTGATCTCCGCTCGGGCGTCCGGCTGTATCGAGTTTGTATTTTTGTATATAGATGGCGCAGTTGTCGCCGGCGTGGGACCCGCCAGTCACCTAGCCGGCCTTACCAAAGCCAATAGTACCGATCTGAAGTGGTTGTAACCGGCGTTTCTCATGACAGCTGTGCTAGGAATCATTTATACTGCGTGCGTTCATAGACTAGATTTGTAGTTCAGAATAAAACATAAAATGATTTTGTTGTTTTCTCGTAACAGGTTCCTGGGAAGTGGTGGTAAAAGAGCTTATGAAAATGCCAACGGGAGATTTATTTCGAGATGCGAAAAGGTTCAGAACAGGAGTGCTGATACAGTGAAAAGAAAAGAGGATGGGAGGGCAAGGTACAAAACTTAAATAATAATACCAAAAATCGCAAGTATTAGACGATAGGTTATGGTTGGTTTTCGGCCGTCTTGAGATGTCCTAGAATTCGTGCTGTCTTCAAAAATCGTCTGGAGCTTGAATTTCATCTCAGAAGACTAATTATCTTTCGACGAATGAATAGCTGTGGAGGCTCTTCAAACTTGATATTTTCAGCTAAAAGTAGCTATAATTCACGTTCCTGGATTTGGTAGTCAAAGTGACATAATAGGTGCACATTGATCACCGACATTGTGATGATTTCACTTGATATAATCAGCAGTCAATATCATTCGCGGTATTCGACGACGACAAAGTCATTTCCAGCTGGTCCATTATCTTCGGCATCTGGGAGTTGAAGGGCAACATGCTGAGCCCTTGCTTCTTCCACAGCGCGGGGCACATGACTTGGACCAGTTGTCAAGAAAGACGATGACCAGGAACACAACCAGTAGCCCCAGGTTAAGAGTTTGAGGGTGTTTTTGCCAAGTCTCCAGCACGCACTTGGGCCAATAGTCAAAACACCAACATGCCATCTTGCAAGAAATTGGGTGGCCAAGAATCTAGAAATTGTGAACGTTAAATTTATCACCAAATTTTCCTGTGGACAACTCTTTGATTTTCGATATCGCCGGGATTATTTCACTTCGAATTTACATATCTTCCCAAGTGTGCCAAATTATAAACAAAAGTTTCTGAAAAATCGGTAACTACTCAAATGAAAAAGCTCGTGACGATTCGTAGAAAGTGCATCCCGTAAGACGTTATGTTATTTCAGATGAAATCGGTGCGATTGTGCAGCCAAAAATTGGTTAGATCAAGTCAGAAAAAATGTGTATTTTATCTTAGTTCATGGGTTTTTTAATTGTTCTGCAATGTCCTCCGGCTGAACCGTTAAGCTACATTTGAATTGCGTGCATGCACTGCAAATATAAAAGTTTCTTACAGGAGTCGGACTTTTTCCGGAGTCCGAGTCGGGGAAAGGGACTCGGAGTCAGGAGTCGGGGAAAGGGAGAGAAAGGGGGCAGAAGAAGTGGGACTTTTTAAATATCTGGTGGACCGATAAGAAAAACATTCTCTGCGTCGCGAAATAATTGTCAATGGGGCACGGGTCAAGTTGTTATTCACTGCTTACAGACACACATACAACCTCACTTCAGGGTTGAGGGTGTTTTACGCACTCCGGGTTGTTACTCGCCAGCTGGTGACCTTGGGTAAGGTCAGGTCGCCAGCCAGTAGTTGCTAGGCGCTCTCGGGTGAGCTCCCTCTCCTCCCCCATCCCTCCCCGCCTGTCGGGGGCTAGGATCGCGTGTTATAGCGCAGTCGCAATGAAAGCTCGTAGCAGGTTCAATTCCATTAAAACATCACGGGGCAAGTGCAGAAGATTTGTTAAAGTGGACGGGTGGGCCGGTGGCTTCTCAAGAAGTGGTGAACCCTTTGCGGTAAGTGCTGCTTTTTTGCGACTTTGAGCTTAATTGAAGATCAGGAGGTACCTATATTCATAATTTATTGTTGGGCATACACCGAAGTTGGACTCATTTATGATGCCCTTCATCCCCTGGTGCGCCAGCTGCCGCTACTTGTTCCAATTCCATGGCTATAGATAGATGTATCTGTCCCTATACCTACCTATTGCTATTATTATTCAGAAAAAGGTGCCGCCATGGCAACATCGAGGCCGTGATCGAGCCTCATCCCGGTCAAGATAGTACTTACTATCAACACGATGTCATCATGTTACAGTCTGATACCTAATACTATACTGAAGGGTCTACAGCATAGGCTGCCCCCCTTTGATTTTGGCATTTTAACTGACATTAGCCCTATGGGCGACGGGCGTTGCATGGAAAGAATGGGACCAAAGGTCGGCAGTGCCCTCCCCCCTTAATTGAAGGTGTTCCGCCGCTACTGGTCTACACTCTACAGCTACCTATTTTTGAAAAGATAATATTTAGTGTGTCTTGTTCACCAAAATAACCCCGATGCATCAATGTATCACTATAAAACAATCAACCCGGTAAAGCTTGCATCCTACACCTGCACTTAATCACAACTGAAGAAGAATCATATTCAATACTATTTACTACTATCAACACTGGAATGAATTATTCGAAATAGGCTCCGAGCTTCGCACAAGCAATCCGCGTTCGCTTCCGGAACGGGTATTACACGCAGTTGCAGGACACTAGTCAGATTTCAGTGATATGAAATCAGGCTGCCACCGTTCCCAGTTTAATATGCAGGTGTCTGGAGTGTAGAACATGGCCTTTTGCTATCTGGCCGTCCTGAAAGTAATCCAGTAAATGCACCCGTGACATTCACGTGTCACGTGCCATAACAGATTCATAGAATCCGTGAGAAAAGAAAATGACCCGCTGCTGCCCATAGTTGTGCAAATTGCTGACGTTTTGAGGCTTTGAGGCGAACAACGTGTGCTTGAGAACGTGGTTACTGCTGTTATGCATTTGCAATGCATCTTGGCAAAGTATCACGCTCGGGTTTTCGTTGATTAGTAGATGTTCCAAATCGCAGTAAATCCAACTGTCGCTCCACACCGTGGGTAAGAACTTAGCGATAACAACGGGAAATCCCACCAGATAAAAGCGAAAATCATGGATTTACGAGAGCACACCTTTTGCCAGAATATGCCTACGTTTTGCATTTTCTTAGCGCTTACAATAGGAATCCCATTTTCATACTTATTGGTTTTGCTGTGATCACTTTTTCCCTTCATCGTATTGATTTATATGTTGACACATTTTCACTGTGCTCGTTCCTTTTCATCTATCATTTACCGTTGTCATCATTTTACCATAAGTTCACTTCGTTTTCCTGTCTACCGTCCCTGAAAATGATTGTCGCAGGTATGCGCATTTTGCACTTTTGCAGTATATGGGAGCTATCATCAGAGGTGGAAGAAGTGTTCAAGCTGTCGCCAACAAAATGTTCCAAAGGCAAAGCTGTCGCATTAAAACAAACAAACAAACAAACAAACAAACAAACAAACAAACAAACAAACAAACAAACAAACAAATAGACAAACAACCAACCAACCAAACAAACAACAAACAAACAAACAAACAAACAAACAAACAAACAAACAAACAAACAAACAAAAAACAAGAACTGAAGTAGACAGTTCGTGTAAACCGTAAGAACGTGCATTTTGCAAACGAAATTTGCATGAGGATAGGCTGTCGCATTTCCTTGTCGAAACTTCAATTCAAGATTGAGGAAATACGATTGTCGCATGCGACATGCGACAGCAAACTATCCGCAAACGGCGAATGGGGAATACGGCGTAACTATTTCGTTCGTGCGTTGACTATTTTTTTTGTGTGCATAATTTGTGACTAAAACACTGTAAAACAATAGCGCAGCAAAATAGAGCAAGAGTGGGCACGCAAAAGGGTTATATCCCAGGCATGAAAACGCATCATGATTTGCAGTGTTCGCAGAATGAAAAACAAAGCTATGAAACTGATTGTGAGTCCATTGTGAGTCACACTGGGTCCGCAAAAAGGGTTTTCAAAGGGAAGCGGAAGCGCAAAGCGCAAAGGAAGCGCAAAAAGGGAAGCAAGTCGGTTTTAATTCAAATGAGATGTGCCTTTAAATATCAAGTTGAAAAGCTAGCTTTGTTTACCATAAGTTCGTGATATCGTTTATTTCATTTTTTTTTCATGCACTAACTAATCTACAAAATAGTCCGCCGCCCATGAACAGACGACCAGGAGTGTCCACCCACGGTCCCGCACGACCACAGAACCATACGTTAACACCAAAAACAAAAATATGCAAGTCGTGACACTCCCTGCTAAGAAAAGGAAAATAACAAAAAAAGAAGCGAAAAAACCTGTGCAGCCAAATACAGATGCAAGTAGTGTTATGAGTCATGTATACAAGGGGCGGAAAGAAATCAAAGCTAAAAATAGCTTTGACTAGACACTACGTTTTTTTTTTGTTTTTTTCTTCAGTACCTATACATTCATACCTTGGTTAGTTACACATTCGTACAGGGAGTTGGAACAATCACACAAGGACATGGGTATAAGCCGGTAGCATGCAGATCAAAAGGTCGGTGTCGGTTCCTGGTCAGGTTTCAGCATGGTCAAGTGCCCACCGAAATAGGCCACCCAGCTAAGCAAGCTTGTTGCTGGGGCTTCATTATATAAGAAATTCGCATCAAGTGGCGCCGATCCTCCTAAGCCGTTGAAAATGCTTTATAATGCATAGGTATAGAATAACGGTGATGACCTACAATACTATAAACCTGGGTCTAAGGCCGCCTTTTTGCTATTGGCGTCAAACACCTTAGAAAAAGGCGACCACGTCACAAAACTAGCGCTTCTACTAAATAACCTACCTGAATTTCTATATCACATCGCATCGCTCACGAGTGCATCGAAATAATACGACCACATCAGTTCAGCTGTGAGCGACATATCAGCTCATCGCCTCAGATCAGTTCATCAACGAACGTCAGTTCAGCAGCAACGCTTGTGGTCACGAGACATCATTGAGCCTTCAAGCACCAGTTCATCGACGAACATCGGGTTATCTACACGTCAGGTCATCGGCGAACATGAGTTCAGTGACTCACACCAGTATAACAATGCATAGTAATGCAGCTTCAGCGACGCATAACAGTTCATCGCGGCACATCAGTTCATCTGGGCACATCAGTTCAGCAGCACTGATCAGTTCATCACGAGAATCGGGATACCAATCCATCGATGACCATACTTCACTCATGAACACATTCATGAACACTATGACTCAGTTCATCGACGCATTTCAGCCCATCACAAGACATCAATTCATCATTTCGACTGCGTTG